CAGGTTCGTCAATTTCTCTCTCTCTATGTATACGCTTTTTCTCTTTAAAACTCGGAACCCTTCACTTTTGCCCTTATTTTCTCTGAAGAAGCTGTCTGTCGCGATACCCGGTCGGGTATTTTAGGTGGAGACCGGTGATTCTCAAAACGCACCGTCGGGGACAGGGGGCTAATCCCCGGTCAAGTTCAAGAATACCCGACCGGGGATTTATGCTCAATGCCCGGGGCCCCTTCTGTTTCTCAGACGCCCAAAAGTTCTTTTCCACGGTCTGCTCTGATTATTATTAATACCCGGCCGGGTATTTCTGCTCTTGGCCGGGTATTTTGCTCCTCCAGCACACTTCAACTCAAACGTGCTCCTTTCGACCGGAAACTCGTTTCTTCGCCTCGATGCCAACGCCAAGCCCTGAAATATGACATAAACACACAACCTAGCGTGAAATCGGCTTAAAACACGAGAATCAACATCTCAAACGGCTCAAGAATAGGGGTAAAAACAAGTGCAATCAATGGTCTATCAGGGAGCACAATGGAGGTTCAAGGGAGAGGGACTAAGTTGAAGAAGTTGAAGAAGTTCCCCTTGTCATCCAGAATGTGTTCTACATCCCAAGTCTCAAATTGAATCTTCTTAGGATGAGGCAAATGCAGGAGAAGAACTTGGCTTTCACAATCAGGAGTGAAAGCTGCAGAATCTATCATGAGAGGCATGGTTTGCTGCTTCAAACATCCATGAAGTCTAATCGAATGTTTGTTCTGCAAGCTAGGCATCACACATAAGAAAGCAGTCATTGTCTCCAGACTGATACCCCAAACAATGACATACTAAACCTATGGAACAGAAGGTTTGGTCATCTGAGCAAAGCTGGACTACTTCAATTGCAACGAGGAAAGTTGGTTCAGGGGCTTCCAAAACTCATTGGGGAGCTGGAAGTTTGTGGAACCTGCATGATTAGCAAGCAATGTAGAAGCAAGTTCCCAAAGAAAGGAGCATGGAGAGCTATCAAACCACTCCAACTATTACATGCTGATTTATATGGTACCATCACTCCCACCTCAAATGGAGGAAAAAGGTATATCATGACCCTTAATGATGACTATAGAAGGAAGTTATGGGTGTATTTCCTGTCTACAAAATCAGAAGCATTAACTTGGTTCAAAAGATTCAAGGCTCAAGTAGAGAATGAAAATTGGTCAAAAGATTGCATGTCTTAGGACTGATAGGGGTGGAGAGTTTTTGTTACATGAATTTAGAGATGTCTGTGAAACAGAAGGTATCAGAAGACAGCTGAAAACTGCTCTCAACCCTCAGCAAAATGGTGTTGCTGAGAGGAAAAACAGAACTGTCATGAACATGGTAAGGTGTTCACTGGAGGATACCAAAGTTCCATCCTCCTTCTGGCTGGAGGATGTAGATTGGGCTACTCACATCCTCAACAGAAGTCCAACTATAGCCAACGATGTCAAAACTCCACAAGAAAGATGGACTGGGAAGCGTCCTTCAATGAATCATTTAAAAGTTTTTGGTTGTGTGGCTTATGCCCATATTCATGACAGTCTCAGAAAGAAGCTGGACGATAAGAGTATTAAATGCAACTTCCTAGGATTGTCAAAGGAATCTAAAGCCTACAAGCTTTTCAATCCCGAGACTAAAAAGATAATCATCAGTCGAGATGTAGTCTTCAATGAGAAGGAAGGCTGGATAAGGAAGTCTGAGACTGAACCAGTCCTGACCAAGCTAATATGGGAAGGCAGTGAGGAAGCTTGGCATGACTCAGAAGAGGAGGAAGAAGGAGAGAACGATGGATCACAAACTTCTCAAAAGGAGGAGGCTGAAGAAAGTGAGGACAACTCAAGTCCTACTATTACTGAGCCATCATTTTCTGAAGTAACTACACCACAATCAACTATTCCAGTCACTGAAGAAGAGGAAGAGGAAGGAATGACTAATGCACTAGGATTACCAATCAACAGTTATTTGGGATCCAGAACTCGCAAGTTCCCAAGTCGATTTGATGGTTTTTATTGCAAGGGAATGCCAAATCTGTCGTTTGCTGAGGCAGATTGGTGGGCTCTAGTAGCTGTCAATGGTGATCCATCATCCTTTGAGGAGGCTGTGCTTGAAGAAAGATGGAGGAAGGCTATGGAACAAGAATTTGAGGCCATCAAGAGGAATCATACCTGGATATTGGTCGATAAACCAGCAGGAGTGACTCCAATTGGGGTCAAATGGGTGTACATGAATAAATTGAAGGAGGATGGCTCAATTGAAAAGTTTAAGGCCGGGCTGGTAGCAAAGGGGTATGCACAGAGGTATGGTGTGGATTATAGTGAGGTGTTTGCACCTGTGGCCAGATGGGACACCATCAGGACATTCCTTGCTCTTGCTGCTCAATATGGTTTAACAGTTTACCAGTTAGATGTCAAAAGCGCTTTCTTACAGGGTGAACTTACAGAGGAAGGATACATTGAGCAGCCACAGGGTTTTGAAATTCCTGGAGAAGAGGGCAAGATATATAAACTGCAAAAGGCCCTGTATGGCCAACAGCAGGCTCCCAGAGCATGGTTCAGTCGCATTGAGACTCACTTTGTGGATGCAGGTTTTGAGAAGTGTGAATTTGAACACACCCTATTTGTAAAGAAGAAGGAAAATGATGTGCTGATGGTTAGTGTATATGTGGATGATCTTATTTATGCCAACACTAGTCCTGAAATGTTGAAGGAGTTCAAAGAATCAATGGAGGGTGAATTCGACATGACAGATTTGGAAAGAATGAAGTTCTTTCTGGGTGTGGAGGTAATTCAATCATCAACTAGCATCTTTATTTCCTAGCAAAAGTATGTCGAAGAGCTGTTGGACAAGTTTCAGCTTGCAGACTGCAATTATGTTCATAATCCTCTGGCTCCAGGAACCAAGCTTTCAAAGGCAGGAGATGGTATTCAGGCTAGTGGAACAGAATATAAACAGCTCATTGGAAGTCTTTTATATGCAACAGCTACAAGACCCGATATTATGTATGTTGTTTGCTTATTAAGTAGGTACATGGACAAGCCTACAAGACAACATATGTTAGCAGCAAAGAGGGTGCTGAGGTACCTAAAAGGAACACTAAGGTTTGGAATTCTGTATAGAATACAGGAAGAAGGAGATTGTCTGCTTGGATATACAGATAGCGATTATGTTGGTGATTTGGATGATAGGAGAAGCTCAAGTGGTTACACTTTCTTTCTTGCTGAAGCTGCAATCTCGTGGAGTTCAAAGAAGAAACCTGTTGTTACTCTATCAACAACAGAAGCAGAGTTTGTTGCTGCTTCTTCTTGTGCTGCTCAATGTGTATGGTTAAAAAGGATTGTTGCTCAAATGGGATGGCAGGATTGCGTGAAGGGAACAACCAAGATAATGTGTGACAATAGTTCTGCCATCAAACTCTCCAAGAACCCAGTAATGCATGGCAGAAGTAAACATATTGATGTCTGATTTCACTTTCTAAGGGAGCTGGCCAGGGATGGAACAATTGAGTTAGAGCACTGTGGAACTGCAGAACATATTGCAGACATCATGACTAAGCCACTGAAGCTTGACACTTTAATGCGAAGCAGGCTAGGTTTAGTGGATGGAGCAGAACTGGAGTTTACTGATTGATGAACTGAAGTTGATTGAAGAAGATGCTTCAATTCAGGGGAGGCTGTTGAAGATGTTGTGTGTGAAGTAGCCGTTGAAATAGCCGTTGGAACAAAGTTCAGTTTGGTCCTCATGTTTCTGTTTTGGTTTAATTAAGTCAATCGTCAAGATAGGAGTTAGGTTAAGAGTTGTTAGCTGGTTTTCAGCAAGTAGTTGGATAGCTAATCGTGGTCTCTGATATTTAGGGATCCATGATCAGTTTGTTAGAGTCTCTGATTATGTTTAAGCATTCATTGAGAATCAATAAAGCTTGTCAGTTTGCATTTCAATTGCTTTCATGAGGTACATATTCAAATCCCTACTTCAGGCAGGTCCTGTCACTTTCCTCATGAATTACCGAGAAAAACATAACCCCGCTTAGCAAATTCTACGTAGACTCGGTTAGTGCAGGTTTCTCCTCATTGTGTTTTGTCTCATTTTGTCACTGATGCTTCAACGAGTGGCTCAATATGAATACTTAAAAGTCTAAGACCACTTGCTTGAAGACCCTTCTTTAAAGATGAGCCTTCTCATTTTCATGATATGAACCAACTAGAAGGCCATGGGTATTTAGTGTGTTGTTCAATATTAGTGCCTCTGATAATGTTGTTTATGTTCGGACATCCATGATTCAAGGGGCCATCAGTATGAGCTGGATATATTATATTAGTGCTCATCGTTCAAAGAAGTTTGTATATTTGGTTCGCTACGCTTTCCTCTAACTTATTGGAGATTTTTTTTTTTTTTTTGTGTATTCTACCATAGCATCACTGCATCAGTGCCAATGTAACTTGTGAACATTTGATTGCTTCCCATGCCATATTCACTAGAATTAGCTCTTCTTGTAGAGTCTCATTATTTTTGTGTAATTTGGTACCTTTACTCCATGTACTACGAAGTCGTCACCTCCTCGTATCATTTTCAGACGGGTATTGATGTAATGTCTACCAACTGCAGAGTGCGGGCAATTTAGCAAGTTGTAGTTTTATAGATAGACGGTCTACAGATAACTCGTACAAGTCCAGTAGCAGTTAGCATCTTCAACGAAATGCATATGCCACCAGCCACCAAAGTTATTTCTTTGTTTTCGTGCGTTACCAGCAATCCATCCACGGGCTACTGTACAAAACATATATACACATGCTTCACTTTCCGAGACTTCAATTCCCATTAAAGTAACCGACCTCATAGCCATAAGACCCTGTTTTGACGTCGAATCATTTGTGTGGACCAAATATATGCATTTAGTGGTGCCATTTGATGATTGATCGAGACCGCTACCTAGCTAGCTGCCCGGAAAATTATTGCCTGGAAAACCCCTCCGTTCTGGACAACTAAGAAAAGAAAACCAACCACACAGCAAAACCAGTAATTTGTCTGCAATGGCTACGGACAACCAACCACCAAGTCGGGGAAATTAAATTTAATTCTCAGCTGACAATCCAAACTTGCAGGCTACAGAAACCAACAACATTGCTACCAGTACCACCACACATTATTCTCATTACAACCTATTCTCGATTGAGCCAATAGTCAGATAGCAGAAAAATCTCTCTTCTTTTCTTCCTTTCACCGACCGACAGTCAGTCACAGCTCTTGCAACGTGTATTTAAGCTTGCAAGACAGCAACCAAATAAACAAGCCCTGCAATTTCAATTTCAAAGCAACCAAAAATCAAGTTCATGGAGAAACTGATTAGTCTCCGCAATCTCCTGCTGATGATAATGCTCCTTCCATTCTGGTTATCACTAGCAGCAGCCTCTGAATCAACCGTCAAGTATCTCCCTGGTTTTCATGGCCCTCTCCCGTTTGACTTGGAAACCGGGTGGGTAATTTAGGAGAGGAACTAATTAAACTGTGTAATGATCCCAAAAAAAACAAAAAACAAAGAAAAAAGTTGAGTGCTTTGGTTTTAAAGTTGCTACTCTTTGTCAGGTATATTGGGGTTGGAGAAGCAGAGGAATTGCAGCTGTTCTACTACTTTGTGAAATCGGAGAGGAATCCTGAGGAAGACCCTCTGCTCCTCTGGCTCACCGGCGGCCCTGGCTGCTCTTCCTTTTCAGGCCTCGCCTATGAAGTCGGTCCCTTTCGCTTTCAACAAGCGGAATACAACGGAACCTTGCCGACTTTGGTCTACAATCCCAACTCCTGGACAAAGGTTGCCAGCATGATATTTATAGACTCGCCAGTTGGGACTGGATTCTCTTACGCGACAACCAACTCGTCCGCAATTCAACCGGGTGACATTGTCCAAGTTTCCCACGCTCAAGAATTCCTCAGAAGAGTTAGTATCTTTGCCTCTTTTATGTTCCTGGAAATGAAGCAAATGTTTTTCCTGCACGATGATTATGTTCTGTTCTGTTTTGTTTCTTCTATACATAGTGGCTAACCAAACATTCAGAATTCCTGTCGAATCCACTTTACATAGCAGGGGATTCCTACTCAGGCATCACTATCCCGGCCATAGTCCAACTACTTTCCATTGGTATGTTATATATATATGTGTAGAGTTTTAGAGATTGTGGGAATCTGAGTTGTTGTTCTCATTGATAATTCCATGATTTAATATACAGAAGTGAGGAGTGAAAATAGCTGGACGTTGCAACAGATGCAAGCCACTATCCACAAGAGTAGGAACCGAAAGGAGAGTGGAAGTAAATAATACAAAAAGAGGAAAAAATATTTATCTATCTCTAATACGCCCCCGCAAGACGGACGTTGTGTCAACAACACCGATCTTGGACCGTAGAAGAAGAAATCGAGCCGCGGGAAGGGGCTTGGTGAGGACGTCGGCCAACTGTTGAGCGGTTGGAATGTAGCGAATCACTAGGCGACCCTCTTGGACTAATTGACGGACAAAGTGGTAGTCCAACGCCAGATGCTACATACGGGAGTGAAAGACTGGATTGGAGCAAAAGTATGTGGCGCCGAGATTGTCGGAATAGAGTGTGGGGGGAGCCTGGAGAGGACGATGTAGTTCCTGAAGGAGATTTTGTAGCCACTCAATTTCTGCAGTAGCATGAGCTATGGCGCGGTATTCGGCTTCAGTACTCGATCGAGCGATAGTTCGCTGTTTTTTAGACCGCCAGGAGACCAGTGTGGAGCCGAGGTAGAGTAGGTAAGCCGATGTGGAGGAGCCGTCGTCCAAGTTGTCGGCCCAGTCGGAGTCCGCGAATGCCGATAGAGCTAGCGGCTGGGGCGACCGATGAATGAGGAGACCATGATGAATTGTGCCAGTGATATAGCGCAGTAAACGCTTTAAGCTCTGCCAATGGGATGCAGAAGGAGAGTGCATGAATTGGGAGAGTTTGTTGACGAAGAATGCGATATCAGGTCTCGTGTACACTAGATACTGGAGGGCCCCTATAATCTGGCGGAACCGAGTGGAGTCAGAGGCAGAGCTGCCGTCGGTGAGAGATAGTGCGACGGTGGAAGCCATTGGAGTTGGGGTTGGGGCCGCCTCAAGCATATCAAACCGAGTGAGAATATCCTGCATATATTTGTGCTGGGAGAGCAGATAGCCATCAGTAGTTGGGATTACCTCAATTCCTAGAAAATAGGAGACATCCCCCAAAGACTTCAAAGAAAAACGTTGGGATAGAGCTTCACGAAAAGAAGCAAGCAGCTGATCATTATTGCCGGTGAGTAAGAGATCGTCGACATAGACGAGAAAGTAGAGCAGTGCATCATCGCGCTTGTAGACAAAGAGGGATGAGTCCGAGATGGTCTTAGTGAAGCCAAAATCAAGGAGGAAGGAACTGAGAGCTATGTACCAAGCGCGGGGTGCCTGCCGAAGCCCGTAAATTGCTCGTTTGAGGCGGCAGACATGATTAGGACGGGTCGGATCCTTGAAACCAGGGGGTTGGAGCATGTATACCTCATCCTCCAAAGGGCCTTGAAAGAAGGCATTATTGACATCGAAATGGGCAATGGACCACTGGTGAAATAGAGCGAGAGTGAGTATCGTGAGTACTATAACCGGTTTGACGACCGGACTGTAGGTGTCGCCGAAGTCGATACCGGGGCGTTGATGGAAGCCCTTGGCCACCAAGCGAGTCTTGAACCGTGCAATAGAGCCATCGGGTTCCCGCTTTACTCGATAGACCCACCTATTGCCCAAGACATTGTAATGGGGGAGGCGAGGCACGAGATCTCACGTCTCATTTGCATGAAGAGCCTGGTTTTCGGCAGTGAGTGCGGCGGACCATTCGGGATAGAGCATAGCTTCTTTCACATAAGTAGGTTCCAGTGGCGGTGAGGAGGAAGCAGACGAGGAGCCCGCTATAGTGAGAAATAGTCATTTGGGCTTGAAGATCCCATGTTGTGCCCGGGTAGTCATGATGTGGGAGCGGGCCAGAGGAGGAGGCTGCACAGGCGGTGGTATGGGAGGCCCAGTTGGGGAAGTTGCGGGCCCAGGTGAAGGCCCAGCGGCCGAGGAAGAACCAGGCGATGTTGAGGAGGAGTCTGCGCCGAGGGGAGCCGATGGAGAGGGGGAATTGGGCCCAGGCGGGGCTGGGCTGAGCGGAGGTGGTGTGGGCCGAGCTCCTGGGAGATAGGTGATGGGCGGGGTGGCATCAAACAGCCAAGTAGCGGGAGTAGGAATGGCAGGAGCAGCTGGGGAGGAGTAACCTGGAAATTCCTCTTCAACAAAATGCACATGGCGAGAAAGAAACAGGCGATTAGTGAGGGAATCAAAGCATTTGTAAGCACTCCTTTGGGGACAGTAGCCGAGGAAAATACAAGGACGGGACCAGGGGGCAAGTTTATTTGGGGCATAAGGACGAAGCCATGGGTAACACAAACACCCAAAAATACGAAGCTTATGATAGTTAGGAATTTGGTTGAACAGAAGAGTATAAGGTATCTGGCCACGAAGTGCAGAGGAGGGCATACGATTAATCAAATAAATCGCAGTGGAGAAAGCATAGGACCAAAAAATGGAGGGAAGTTTAGTGTGATGAAGAAGAGTGATGCCAGTTTCGACAAGATGTCGATGTTTATGCTCAGCCAAGTCATTGTGCTCCAGCGTATGAGGAGGAGTGAGTAGGTGGGTAATGCCATGAGGAGATAGATCAGGACATAATTTGATGAATTCACCACCACCACCATCAGTATATAGACGGCGAATAGTAGTGGAGAAATAGTTGGCAACCATGGTACGAAAATCCAAAAAAACTTGGGAAACATATGATTTACGACGGAGAGGATAGTACCATGTATAACGAGTGTAGTGATCAATAATAACCAAGTAAAATTGAAAACCATCAAGAGAGGTAACAAGAGCAGGGCCCCAAACATCAGTATATAATAGATCAAATGGTCTAGTATTGGTAAGGGAGGAAACACCAAAGGGAAGTTTATGGGATTTATTTGAAAGACAAGCATCTCAATGACTAAGAGAAGATGATGATGAAACTGGAAGGGAATGGGAGCGGAGCAAACTGCGAAGGGAATGAGCAGATAGATGACCAAGTCTGGAATGCCAGGATTGTGTGGACGTGCGAATGGTAACAAGGGCCATGCAAACAGGTTCGGTCATGGGCGGGAGCTCATACACATCACCTCTGTTTTCACCTCTCAACATCAGCGCCCCCGTGCGAAGATCCTTAACAACAAAATGCGTGGCCAAGAATTCCACGGACACTGGGTTAGTACGACATAATTGAGCCACAGAAATAAGATGTCGTTTAATGGAAGGAACATGTAAAACATCCTGTAATGATAGGGAGTGCAATCTAGTAGATAGTTGAGAAGAGCCAATATGGCTAATTCGTAAACCTGAGCCATTCCCGACAACCAATTCATCAGGCACTGTATAATCTGAGTATAGTGATAAACTCCCAAGATCTGCGGTGACATGGTGGGAGGCAGCCGAATCCATTAGCCATGGATTGGACGGGCTGGTCGTGGGCTGTGGAAAAGAGGAACCAGCATTTGAGTAATGAGCTTGGGCCTGCTGATTTTGAAGATGAGCCTGGCGGGCTTGAGGAAAGAGGCGAAAGCACTGGTGCACAGTATGGCCAAGCTTTTCGCAATACTGGCAGACCTGCCTGGGCCGACGAGGCACTGGGCTGGAAGTCTCACGTGGAGACGCCGGGCCGGAGAAGAGTTGCCGAGATGGGCTTGCGGCCCACGTGGAGAGGACCCAGTGAAATAGGGCTGGGGTGAAGCGCCGCCACGGTGAGGACGGGACTGAGGAGAGCCTCCCTGTTTCTGGCCTTGAGAATAGAACGTCGTCGGCACGGTGGTTTGTGGACGCGCCTTGATGTCAGCTTCAAACTCCACCAGCGAATCCACCAGGTCTTCAAGAGTGAGGCCAGGACCTCGTGCACGAACAGCGGCGGCGAAAGCCTGGTAGTCTTCGCCCAGACCTCTAAGACAATGAACAATCAGGTCAATGTCTTTCACGGGCTCATCAATAAGAGCGAGTTCGGCAGCAATGGATTTGAGATCGTTGATTAAGGTGAGGATGTCTCGATCTCCCTTGATTGATTTCACGAGTTTCCCTTTCAGATGAATGACGCGCGATTGAGCACTGCTAGCGTAAAGCTTTTCCAGAGTAAGCCAAGCTTCACGAGCAGTGGACGCAGCCGAGACAAAGGAGTAAATGGATTCGTCAATTGAGCATCTCATGGCATGAAGAATGAGTTTATCTTGCCTGAACCAGTTGCGATAAGCAGGATTGGCCGTAGAAGCCTCATCTATTGTGATCGATTGAGGTGGAGTGGTTGTGGTTCCATCCAGGTAGCCAATCAAATCAAGCCCCATGAGGAGAGTTTCAAGCTGAGAGCGCCATGAGGCGAAGTTCGAAGGAGTGAGCTTCAGAGGAAGCTGAGCGGCTGGATTAAAGGTAATGATTTGGATCTCTGAACTTGTGGATCCTTTGCTTGAGTCGGAAACAATGGAGTCGCCAGCCATGATGATTAGCAAAAGAACAGGGAAGAGAAAAAAAAAGAATATGATAAGATGGATCTAGCTGATCGTTGCTAGCTCTGATACCATGTAGAGTTTCAGAGATTGTGGAAATCTGAGTTGTTGTTCTCATTGATAATTCCATGATTTAATATACAGAAGTGAGGAGTGAAAATAGTTGGACGTTGCAACAGAAGCAAGCCACTATCCACAAGAGTAGGAACCGAAAGGAGAGTGGAAGTAAATAATACAAAAAGAGGAAAAAATATTTATCTATCTCTAATAATATGCAGCCATTCATAGCCTTGCACGGAATCCCTTTTAACATATTGATTGCTTTGTTTCTTGGTAAGATTACCGGCCATATGTGTCCTTTTGCAGGAAATGAAAATGGCGTCCAGCCAATGTTAAATCTCAAGGTTCGAAATATTTTTTACTAGGTCCCTTAATTTCGCTTAAGGTTCGAACTAATAGAGGCTATAACTCCAGGGATACATGATTGGGAACCCAATAACAGGTGGTGGATTTGACAGCAATGCACGAATTCCATATGCACATGGGATGGCACTCATTTCCTATGAACTTTATCAGGTTTATCCCCATAATTAGGCTATCAAATAGCAATACGACTAATTGTGGGTTTGTATGTTTCGTATTGTTAGATAAATAAAGTTCCGATAACGTGTTTTGTTTGTTTGTTTGTTTACCGTAACTGTCACTGCGTCATATGAAAGTATAGAAAGGTGCATGACCGTTTAGTTCCATGCGTCTATGCTTGCATTAGGAAAATGATTGTTTCGTTTAAATGATGAAATATAAATCCAGCACAACAATTCTTCGTTTTAGAATTCTCTTAATTTGTATTTTTTAATCGATGAATTGTTGTAGTCACTGGAGGAAAGCTGTGGGGGAGAGTACGAGAGAATAGATCCCACCAACTCGGAATGCCTCAACAACTTAAAGGCCTTTGATGAAGTATATATACATCATCTCTTACTTTCAATATGGTTCAAAATCATGTGCAGCGTGTTTTAATTGTCGTAAAATAGAATGTTCAATTCCTATGTATGCAGTGTTTGTCAGGAATTCAACCAGGAAATATATTGGACCCAGTATGTAAGTTCGCTTCCAGAAAGCCAGTGGAGATTGTAGCAAGAAGAAAAATCATGCAGGATAAAGCTCAACCGTATTTAGCCATTGATCCACCAGATTTTAGTTGCAGCGTAATCATGAATTACTACATTCTCAATACTTAGGGATCTTGAGCTTTCCATAGAATGACCTATTCATTTTACCGTGTCTTTCCTGCTTTAGCCGTTGCTGTACTCTTATGAACTTTGCAAATACTGGGCTAATGATGTGCAAGTCCGCAAAGCGCTTCACATACGAGAGGTAAAGATAGTGCTTGCAGTAAAAAAAATGCTTGGGGAATTTACACATTTAGATCACAAGCCTAAAATGATTGTGGTGCTGGTGCTGGCAGGGGACGGTAGGGGAGTGGATCAGATGTAATTATGCGTTGGGTTATGAACTTGATATTCCAAGTAGCTTCAAGTACCATGTCTATCTTTCAACCAAGGGCTACCGTTCATTGATCTACAGGTGAACCCTTTCTTTTGCATTTTTGTTTCCCTCCTTTTTAGGCTAAATGTCACATTTGGTCATTGAGATTACTAATTCGTGTCATGTTTAGTCACCAAAAAAGTTTAATATCAATTTTGGTCATTCGAATTACTGAATCAGGTCACATATAGTCACTCTCCCGTTAGCCTCCGTCCAACTCCGGTCACTCAGATTATTGAAACATGTCACATTTAGTCACTCGAATTACTAAAACAAGTCACGTTTAATCACTCTCTCGTTAGCTTCCGTTAATGGAGTTGGACGGAAACTTACGGCGGAGTAACTAAATGTGACCTGATTCAGTAATTCGAGTGACTAAAATTGGTATTAAATTTTTCTAGTGACTAAACATGATACGATTTAGTAATATCAGTGACCAAATTTGTCATTTACCCTCCTTTTCCATTTTGGCTCATGAATAGTGTTCGAACTCTGACGTGTGAGCCTTGACACAGTGGAGACCATGATATCATGGTGCCATTTTTGGGAACACAAACCTGGATTCGAGCTTTGAACTATTCCATTGTGGAAGATTGGCGATCATGGCATGTTCAAAGCCAAGTTGCTGGGTAAGTAACAAAAACTAATACATATTTCTCATTTTGTAAGATAGAATGATTTAGCTCTGATTTTCACTTTTCAGGTATACGAGGACTTTCTCTAATGGAATGACATATGCAACGGTTAAGGTAAGTGATTGATAAGCATCATTACTACTTGTAGTTTGTTGGATATTCAATATGTTTGAAGAGAATGAATGACATAGTCGTAATTTTGCAGGGCGGAGCGCATACAGCTCCCGAAAATAGACCAAAAGAATGTTTTGCTATGTTCCGCAGATGGATAAATCACGAACCTCTGTAAATCATAAAAGGTTCGTTTATGTACCTATAAATAAAGCAATCAATTGAGGTAATGCATATGGGGACAAAAGCTCATTATTTTTCATGATTAATCTATTAGGGTGTGTTTGGATAGAATGATTTGGATTTGGTATTTGTGATTTGGATTTCCAAATATCAAATCATGTGTATGGATATTAATTACATTTGGTATTTGTATTTGTGTCAAATTCATGGGGTGATTTCCAAATACATGTCTAGTGTATTTCTTGCCAACTTCAAATTCATTTCAACTAGTGATTTGAAATACCTCCTAACAAAAGATTGGACAATGGACATATTTGTAAAATTTTAAAAGTTTAGATACTAGAGTGTGAGGCAAAACATATAAAGGTACCAAAATGTAATTTTACCATCAAAATTTAAGGACCTTTTTGTATATTTTTTAACATTAGGTACTAAATTGTAAGAAAAAATAAATTTGGGTACCAAACTGTAATTTACCAAAAAAAATTAGTAAGCGACCATAAAATTTAAATTTAAAATTCAAAATCATAAAATTCAAAATATAAAAAAATTACAAATGAGTATCCAAACAATAAATATGAATTACATGTATTTCAAATGCTAGTATTTTAAATACATCTATTCCAAATGCATATATTTCCAATCCCCCGCTTACAGATTCGGTGGATCGAGCAGGTTCCGGGCGCACCATCCCTGATCTTGTCGCCCGGTAAAAATCCGGGATCGGCACTCCCTTGTCAGTAACAGCCTTCTTCTTCTTGAGTGGCAGCATACCTACACCAGAAAGTTTGTTATAATGGTCAAAATTCGTACACAAGGAGTGTTGGCCTAAAACGTAGCGAAGGGAGCTAAGCCCACCAGAAGGCCCCTGCACCCAAAACAAGACCACAAGGGCCTAACAAGAAAGACTAGCAAAGCAAAAAAATAATATCAGAACTGAAAATGAAGGCTAACAACGATTACTTGCAAAGATTAACAAAGCAAAACCGAAGGAAAACAACACCATATATAAAAATGAAGGATAACACCGAAGGAAAATGACTAAAACCAGAAGTCATATTCCTGTTACATCAACTACGTTCTGATTCAATACTAAAGTACAATCAAATGCTTAACATCTAGCTACAGCATCTCAAATTCCCTAATCATACTTTGTGAAGGATCTAGGATGTTCAAATAAGAACCAAAAGTTCCAAAAAGAGGCAGAGGAAAAGTGCCACGCAACAAATTTCTTTATCTTTGCTTCTAATCCTATTGCACAACCCCCACAAATCTTGTGGTGGACATCAAATACTTTATAATTGATCTACCAAATCACCTCTGAATCCCTTATAAATAAAAAGTGGTTTTGTGAATTAATAATACCTGTCCCATGAACTTAAGGGTTTAACAAAAGAGAAAAAAAATAGATGTAAAAAACCAAACTCGGTTAGAATATACAGCAAGTCAAGCCAATAGCTAGAACTCAAATTTCCATAGGAGCTGCTACGAATGCCCAACCAAAGCTTTCATAACAACAAAGCTTTGAGGCCCTGTTCGCACAACCCCTGCTAGAAAAAAATGACCATCATGAACCTAGAATCACAACCACAAAGAACTCATCTTAAACCTACATGGAATCGAAAATAGATTTATGCATGCAACCTTGTTAAGCAAACATGCGCCTATATATTTAAATTAGTAGCGATTAAATTATGGGCTTAGCATAGGCGGCGAAAAACGAGGAAGGGGGGCAGCGCCGACTTCAAAGCCAAACCCTAATCCACAAACTACTCACGCGAGACGCAAATCAGCTGAGCATCTACCAAACCATAGACATAAACGGAGCAGAAATCGGAGAATCGAGGGCATCAGCATAAACAGAGCATAGCATAGATATAAACTGGAATGGATTGGAGAATCGAGGGCAGGATACACAGAGCTCGGAAAGCCTGAATGGCGATTCTGAAAGCAGCGCCTACCTGTGAAACTGGTCCCCAAACTAGAGCGATGAGCATACTGGAACAAATCAATGAACGGTCTCAATTTCGCGGCGAAGGTTCAGAGAGAAATTTCCATAGGAGAGGTTGCGATAGAGAAATATTCGAAGAAGAGGGAAATAAGGTTTTCTTTTCGCAGATACGGAGGACTGAAGTCCTTGTCTTCGCTTACCTGTTTTAAAATGGGCCCTTGACGGACTTAAATAATGTGTGGGCTTTGATCCCTTAAATCATGTGGGCTCATAAGACAATTCATTTAACGAATCTTTGAACGAAACCCAGTCTCCCTCCGACACAAACACTACAAAACTGCACCAGAAACCCAATCCAACATCAAAATACATTTCGAAGACACAATCTAGGTTTATGTTTTGTCTGGGTTCATATTAGTACCACAGATATGAAAACATAAACCCCATTATCAGAATCCATTCACATTGATCAAACATTCAGATAAATTCAATATTCTTCATCTAATAAACCCAAAAATATGTAAAAATGAAACTAAGGCCCCCAAAAATTTGTAAAAATGCAACTAAGGCCCCCAAAAATTTGTACACATCTATTTACAAAAAAATCTGCTAACATATAAAGGGCGCACCAATAATCTGATAATGTCTTAACATAATTATATATATAATCTACTGTTAGGCTTCTTCCTCGTTACTGAAGGATGGATCAGTCCCATCTTGGTGTCTAGTTTCATTCGTGGTGAAATGACGGTCATTTAATGTGTCGTCCTCTATCTCTTCATCGTTTGCTTCCACTGCTGCAGCTCGTCTATCAATTGCTCGTATGACTGGCTCAGTAACGATTGTTGGTGCCTCATCATCACGACTTAGATCCGCTAAGTCACTTTCACTTACATGAAAATCAGAAATGTCCACATTACGTTGGTATGGTTGATTTTCATACATCGGATCCCCATGCCCCGCTTCCTCCTTCTCGGGAACATCGTACAAACTTCTTGGACATACCTTATGGACGATATGCCATGCACCACCATTCTTAATATCCGCAATGTAAAACACTTGGTTAGCCTGACTGGCCAATACATATGGGTCCTCCGTACCGCATTTTCTATCCATGTTTATGCTCGTCAAGTGTCCATCCATCCTTATTCCATTCTTCTTGTCCCCCGCATTGAACCACTCGCACTTGAATACAAAGACCCGATGCCCTCCACAATATCGCAGCTTAATAATGTCTACCAGAATTCCGTAAGAATCTATAGTCTCGCCATTGTGGTCAGCCCGAACAACGACACCACTATTCTGAGTTCGATGCCCTTGATCAGCCATATTTATTTGGTATCGAACCCCGTTAATGATGAGTCCAGGATATCTAGTAATACGTTCATCAGCCCCTAATCCTAGGGCATATAAATGGTCAGTCTCTTTAAGCGTGCCAACCAAAAACTTTTCAGAGACCTAAAACGTCATGAAAGGGGCCAAAACATTATGTTGCTGTTAGTAAGAAAAGGGAAACAAATGGAAATTAAAAATGTAGGCTTCCAAAAATTGTAAACTAAGATGGGTAGCTAGCTGCAATGGCTAGATTGCGGTCTTGTGAGTAAGAAAGGAGAAAAAAGGGCAAAAATTGGGCTTACAAAGGTTTTAAACCAAGATGGGAAGTTTTCGTCAATAGTTGTTGGGGTACTGTTTGGATAATTCAGCATTCTCTCTTCCGTATGCATACTGTAAACGCAAATGTTAAGCACAAAAGGTATAAAAAAAATTAAATGGGGTTCAGAGTACACAAAGGAAAAAAAAACTTACTTCAATTGTGCTTCAATTTCATCGCAACTGGTGAAGACATACCATTGAGTCTTATGGAACTCAGCCTACCCTATAGGGTCGTAGTTTGGAGCACCTATAGATCTACCTTGGTGGCGGAAAACATCAAACCCCTTGTAATCCAGATCGTCTAACCCATCATCATTTTTGTCTAGCCTACTCGCTCGGGTTTCAACACCTTTAAGATATTTAGAACAGAAATCCGAACATTCTTTTGCTATATACCTTTCAGCAATCGATCACTCGGCACGGGCCTTATTAGAAATATAAGATTTAAGAGTTCCTAAAAACCTAGTTAAAATAACCAAGAAAACGTCAGAATACCAAAGTTAGCTACGTTATATAAAAAGTCGGAGAAAAAAAATTAATGGGTGTGACTAAGTGTATACCTCCCCATTGGGTACATCCAGCGATACTGTACCGGTCCCCCGAGCTCAATTTCGCGGGGAAGGTGAATATGCATATGCATCATCACGATGAAGAAAGCTGGTGGATACAACATTTCTAGGTTGCAAAGTATAACTGGAATGTTATCACTGAGTTTCCTGACAGTGGACTTGGTTATCGTTCTTGAACACAACTCACGAAAGAATTCACTAAGTTGAGACAATATATTATATGCTTCTTTGCTCAGGAACCCTTGTGCGACAACATGCAGAAGGCGTTGAATGAAGACATGGTGATCATGGCTTTTCATGCCAGTGATTGACCTTCCATCAGTAGTCACACACCGGGATATATTAGATGCATAAGCATATGGGAATTTGATCGACCTCAACCAGTCACATAATGGCCTTCGTTATGTGGTTTTTAAGGTGTATAAAGCAAGAGGCATTTTATAATTATCACCGTCTCTCACCAGATGTATTTCTTTCCAAATACGCATGTCTTCCAAATCACGTCTAGCATTGGCTGTATCTTTGGTCTTTCCCTCGATATTTAGTATCGTAGCTATCACATTCTCACTAATGTTTTTTTCAACATGCATAACATCTAAATTATGCCTCAACTCTATAGTTTTCCAATATGGTAAACTCCAAAATGAAGCTTTAATTTTCCAGTTATGCACATTATAATCAAAACTTCGCCTTTTCCTTTTCCCACCATCATTGACGACCACATCAGAGAGAAAAGCCTTATCAATTTGCTGCAAAAGTTGATCTCCAGAGTCCAGACAACACTCTTGGTTTTCCTCTAAGTTCATGCTTCCCATCAAATTTTCCGAATTTTTCTCCACCTATGGTCAGTTGGAAACCATCTTCGATGCCCCATGTAACACTCTTTATGACTAAAATCCAAACATTTGTAGCATGTCTCACTATTACATACAGGACAGGCTAATCTCCCCTTCGTAATCCAGCCTGATAGCATGCCATATGCGGGGAAATTGTTTATTGTCCATAACAACGCAACATGTAAACGAAATGTTTCGTTTGAGTAAGCGTCATATATACTGACCCCATCCTCTCATAACTCTCTTAGCATTTCTATTAGGGGCTCTAAGTACACATGTATGTTATTACCAGGCGATTTCTCTCCATGTATAAGGACAGCAAATATAAAATAAGGTTCTGTCATACATTTCCAAGCCGTGAGATTGTACGGTGTTAACACGACATACCACATGCTATAACTATTTCTCATGTTCCCATAAGGGTTGAACCCATCACTAAGAAGAGCAAGGCGAACATTCATAGGGTCTGCTGAAAACCAACTATGATCCTCATCGAATCGTTTCCAAGTTTTTGCATATGTCGGATGCCTGAACGTATCATCATCGACACACAAGTCCTTGTGCCACCTCATGTCTTTAGCATCCTCCTTAGTCATGTACAATCTTTGAAGCCTGTCTTTTAGTGGGAAATACCTAGCTTTCTTTTGGGCTACATTATTTTGTTTCCTAGGTATGTATCTAGACTCATTGCATTTAGGGGACGACTTGGCAGATTCTAGAGGACCTCTATAGAGTACACAATGATTTGGGCAGGCATCTATAGTGATGTAACCGAACCCAAGATCTTCCATGTACCGCTTAACTTCATAGAAGGAAGAAGGAAGAGTCTCACCAACAGGTAAAGCTTTCTTGACTAGGTCCAGATTCATGTTGAAGGCTTTGTCAGTACTGTTGGTTACCAGTTTATTGTTCAACAACTTCATAACGAATGACAATCTAGAAAACTCTTTGCATTCAGGGTATAATGGCAAATTGGCATCACGGATTAGCCGAGCCAATTTTTGTCATGGAGGTCTGTTATATTAGAATAATTAGGTGTTGTTGACCCCTCAATGACATGAGCATTTCCAGAAGAAGCACGCAACATATCCCCTAACATATAGTCATGTCATCCTCTAAACCCTCAGTCTCAAGCGCAACGGTAGGTTTCCTAGGCCGATTACTAGTACTCGCAAAGTCAAATGATTCACCATGATGGATCCATGTATTATATGTATCCACCATGCCATTCCTGGTTATATCATCTGCGAAAATCTCCAACTTCTTGAAGTTTTGATAATTGCACCTTTTACAAGGGCATCTAGTTCTTCCTAGCGTATCAACATGTTTGCTGGCAGCCCCTATGAACTCAGAAACCCCTTTTGATATTCATCATAAAACCTATCCTTAAGCTTAATCCAATTTCTACTCATTCAATCTATGCGTAAAGAATGGAAGCACAACGTGAGATGAACTAGAAAAGGATCTGCAGGGGGTATATGACATAACAATAGGAACCAGTTGACTTACACGATTTCATTAAAACACAAAATTCAAGACATTAATCTAATCTTACCTTTGCCTAGTGTTTGGGGCGCCTTCTCTCTATTCTAATTAGCACAACAGGATGGTTGAAGGATAAAAAATATAAGCAGCCCATGCCACGGAGTCAATGACGAGGAAACACAAGAGCTCATTCAAATAGGTAAACCAACAGAATATCAATCTGGTCGTATAAAGGAAGTGACACTAAGCGAACAATATTCTTAAACTCAAGCAAACAAAGCAGTACACAGTTGCCACGGGAGGGAGGAACGACGCTTACCTGGTTCTGCCAGACCAACGATTTTGATATGGGAAACAAGGGAGTGAGAAAGATTATGCTATGGGAACTATTTGCTACAACGCTTTTGCTGTGCAAATTTAGGTAGCGGAGATTGCGGAACTTTGTACTGCGGTGGTGACTGCTGGACGGGGCGATTGGTGGAACGGCTACAACGGAACACCCGACGATGAGTGGCCGGTCCGTTTGGTGGAGGATGGCTAAAGGCCATCGAGGTGGTCGAAATTTTGGTGGTGATTTTTTGTGGGGTTCCTTTGGATTTTGATCGACTGCACAATTTGAAGAAACAAGGAAGGAGGATAATGTTTCAATTTTACGAAATTTATTATTCTTTTTGTGAATTGTTTTCCCGAGGGAAAGATGTTTCAGCCTAAAAATAGCAAATATGACGAAATGCCATTGTCACAACACGAAACCACTATATTATGACCAACATTACATTTTGTCAGCTCGGCGAAGGATTATGGTTCTCTATTGTAACAAACGAAATTGTCATTTAAACAATTCAGGAAGACATAATATGACAAAGGATACTTTGACGATGACATTTGTTACTTTATGTCTCTTACACTACAAAAAAAAAGCAGCCTTTAACGAGGGGAAAATATGGCGAGGGGAGCAAAAACAGTCGTTAAATACCATAATGGGAATCCCACTATGCTAATACGGAGGGGTATTATTTACCTTTGTTATTGGCATGAACCACCCCTCGTTATTGGGGATTTTTTTTTCAATAATAGCACCTTTAAAAAAAATTACCAAAATAGCACCCAGTGCACAAAAATTCCAAAAATAGCACCTTTACATATAAACCGCACCTTCAAGGTGCGTTTTATGTGCAAACCGCACAACGAGTGAGCGATCCACGCTAGGCCAGCTTGAAAACCGCACTGTCAGCGTGCGGTATGGGTTCCCGAGTCGGCGGTCCCTAGCACCGTTGGATGGGGGGGTGATCCAACGGCTGACCGCGCGCCAGCGCACTGATCCGCGTCAGGGATTAAAGACCGCGCGCCTGGAACGGTCAGCGCCTCGGTCGCCATGAACCGCGCCTTCCTGGCACGGTTTTGCAATGGGCAAATTTACCAGGCCGCCCCTGAAGGGTGCGGTCTGATGGGTATAAATACCCCCCTCCCCCTCCTCATTTTTTCACACCACAACTCATTCTCCTCTCTCTCTCTAAAATTATCTCTCTATCCATCCCCTCCCCTCCCAAAAGCCTAGGAAATAGTGGTTTGTTGGTTGCGGCTAAGTCCGATCTGCCATCAGAAAACATTTCTTTGGATTTTCCTTCAAAACCGGCCGAATCTTTGTCCGACTTTCGCGAAAAAATAGACGAGTGGTTCTAAAAAGAGGGA